TATTTTGTTAGCAAGATCTTTCAATGAGAGCGTACCTTTTCAAAATGGAGGAAAAAGAGTCAGAAATAATGCTCAAAAACCAGAGATTTCAAGTATTCAGAGAATTATCTTACACAAACAAATTCAAAAGGTAAAAAGGTAGTCCTGATTCGCAAAGTCATGACTTGGAAACTCTGCAAATCAAGACTTCGACACGCTTGTAACATAAGAACGAAAATAATCAATGAAGGAGTTAAAAACTTACTGAATTGGATGATGCGTAAAGCAGGTGCAACTAGCTCTCTGGGCAGAGTTTGAACCTTCTTGCTTGCCAGTTTTTCTGAATCTAAGGCCTCCTCGTAGCTCAAGCTAGTTTTACCAGTAGACTTACATGTCCAAACTCGGTTGCGATACAGATTCATCCTCTTCAAGTACAATCTATTTTATGTTAAGCAAACAAATAGTTCTGAAACGGCATGTGCACAGATAATCATGAACAACCAAGCCTTTGAAGGATAATATGAACAAAGGTTGTTCCAGAATGAAACAGGCAAAGAGCATTACAAGTTTTAAACTTATTAATCTTTCGTCTAACTGCACACATAAGGAGAAGGCAAATATACAAAACATAAGTCTTAAAATTGTAACAGCTACAGAATAAGGATACTGATAATCTCGAAAGATCTCCTTTGTTAGACGAACTTGATAGACAAGTTCTTGAGGCTCCAAGTTCTTTGGGGGCTCCAGTAGTTTATGTGACTTCTTTTTTAGTAGAGGCATCCTTCAAATGGCAAAACAGACCTGTAGTGTAAACAAAAAAAAAAAAATTGAATGGTCTATTCACTTAAGTGTAATCATAATAAGAAACATCAAGGAAATGTAATCCAAGCAAGAAGGGAATTGTATGTGAAAGCAAGACCTCACAGTTGTTCACACGGCGTTTAAGGTGACACAAATGTCAAGTAAACTTAGCAAGCGTACAAATTTTTGGCACAGAATGAAAACGATAGCATATAGCCCTAGAGCTGACTCTAATTTCTAACACTGAATTCGACAGAGCCAATGGAAAAGCAAGTTGTACTTGTGAGATGATGTGGAAAAAAGAAAACCCAATGAAAAATGTTGAGAAAAGCAATGCAGAAACCGAGATAGCACTAAACCCTAGAACAATCGCAATCCCAATCGAATTTAGAAAAAATCTGAAAGCATGGGACAAAATTGACACTTGAGAGCAATAATCGATCAAGCAAAGGAACCAAAACGAAACCGATGAATCAAAACCCATACCCAAGATCGAGAAAAAGAAAGCACTATCATGCGCCAGTTTCGGAGAATCCAGAACGCAAAACCGACAAGTAATACACACAAAAAGCAGTCATAAAAGCCTAACAACAAATGTAACAAAGAAGAGACGAACACAATGATCAATAACAAAAAAACGCAACGAAAATTCGAAGCTAATACAATGAAAATCACAACAAAGAAAGCAAAATCGCAAACGAAAAGAGGATCGATGTTCCCGCCACAACAAAGAAACCGATTGGAGAGAATTAGAACCACGAAAAAGGAGAGACTCAATCACAAATCTTACGGAGAATGTATGAAATTGGGAATGCGCGTCGTCGAGAGAGAGAGGTGGTCTCAAAAGGAAGAATACAAGTGTTGAGATCTCGCGGTCTCTCTTCGTTCTCTTCGCTCTCTCTCTCGCTCTCAGCTGTTTTTGGTCGTCGTCCTTCCTTATGGGAAAGACGGAAAAAACTTAATATGCGAATTAGTGAATTAGTCTCTCACTTTTTTTTATTTATATGTGAGAGCAGCACTCCTTTTCCTTTTTCTTTTGTACAGGTGTTGTTGTTTTAGAGCCCTTTACTGTACCTTTTTCCTTTTTTTATATTAGCCCCGTAAGGTTTACTGGGCCTTGTCTTCTTATTTGGGCCTTAAAGGATTTAGCTTTATATGGGTTTCGATTTGAATTCAGTAATTTCATGGCTTTAGTATCCAAATATAGATTGAATCCTATTATAATCAAATAAAAATCCATTTTACATAATTTTATATTTTTATTATGTTTTCCGTTGTTTTTTCCAGACAAAAAAAAAATAAAAAAATAAAATGGTAAAACCTAATCCTCGACCATTATTGTTGGAGTTAAATTCCAAATGATGTTTGAGCAAAAAAGGAAAACTTCAAATAACCTACACTAAAAAACCAAGTCATTACATAATGTCTTCTGAGTAAAATTCATGGACGAATCGAAATTTATAAAAAAATATTTCCAGAAAATCAGAAAATAGAAAAATTGTTGGATACTGAAGTCTTTAAAAATTGGCCAACAAAAAAAAATATATATTTTTTGGACCTTTTGGTCAACGACTCACTTTAGATGATATTAATTTTTATTTTGGTAATGTGGATGATTTTAATTTTTGTTTACATGAACACCCGCCAAAAATATATACTAAAATATCTATTTCAAATTTGTATTTTATGGCCTAAAATATAACATATTTTTCTTTCTTTTCTTAAAACTACCAGCACAAAACAACAAACCAAATTAATTAAATTCTTCATCCGTAAATCTATCAAAACTTGGTACCAAACTCGTGAATGACGAAGCCTCGACGAATTACACATATCAACACGTACTTTATGTGGTAGTTGTCTCTATCCAGCGGTCACGATTTCGCCACGTCATCACTTCCTCCCTCCTTAAAACCACTCGTTACACCATTCCTCAAATTACATACATATCCGCCATTGTTTCCGGCACCGAAAACTATACCAAAAAGCCATGGAGGTCGAAAGAGTCCAAGACATTTCATCTTCTTCTCTACTAACCGAAGCGATCCCGTTGGAATTCATCAGATCGGAAAAAGAACAACCGGCGATCACAACATTCCGAGGTCCAACGCCGGCGATCCCCGTCGTCGATCTAAGCGATCCCGACGAAGAAAGCGTGAGGCGTGCGGTGGTGAAAGCGAGTGAAGAATGGGGGCTTTTCCAAGTTGTTAACCACGGGATTCCGACGGAGCTGATACGGCGGTTACAGGACGTCGGAAGAAAATTCTTCGAGCTTCCTTCGTCGGAGAAAGAATCCGTCGCGAAACCGGAAGATTCACAAGACATTGAAGGATACGGAACAAAGCTTCAGAAAGATCCAGAAGGTAAAAAAGCTTGGGTCGATCATCTCTTCCACCGAATCTGGCCACCGTCATGCGTCAATTACAGATTCTGGCCTAAGAATCCACCTGAATACAGGTAAACCGAAACAGAATCCAAAATTCAAATTTTGTAAACCGAAGTTAACCGTTGGTTTAATGTATAAGGGAGGTGAATGAAGAGTATGCAATGCAAGTAAAGAAGCTCTCGGAGACGTTATTAGGGATTCTCTCGGAAGGATTAGGGTTAAAGCGTGACGCGTTGAGAGAAGGTCTCGGCGGAGAGATGGCGGAGTATATGATGAAGATTAATTATTACCCGCCGTGTCCTCGGCCGGATTTAGCTTTAGGTGTACCGGCGCATACAGATCTCAGTGGAATCACTCTTCTTGTTCCCAACGAAGTTCCTGGACTTCAAGTTTTCAAAGATGATCATTGGTTCGATGCAGAGTATATTCCCTCCGCCGTCATTGTTCACATCGGCGATCAGATTCTGGTCAGGACTTTTAAAATCATATATAGGCATTTTATTTTTGGTATAAATGTAGATTAATTTTGTGAATTTTGCAGAGGCTGAGTAATGGGAGGTATAAGAATGTGTTGCATAGGACGACGGTGGATAAAGAGAAGACGAGGATGTCGTGGCCGGTTTTCTTGGAGCCTCCCCGTGAAAAGATCGTCGGACCTTTACCGGAGTTAACCGGAGATGATAATCCTCCAAAGTTTAAACCTTTTACTTTCAAGGATTACAGTTACCGCAAGCTCAATAAACTTCCTCTGGATTGAAGAAAATCAAAACCAAGAAGAAACTATTTGATTTTTTTTTCAACGTAAAATTTGTGGTTGTGGAAAAGGAAGTGGTCGTTATTGAGTGGTTGTTTTCCCGCGATAAGAAGGTCGTTGTGTTTCTTGTTTCTGTATTATGATTAAATAAAAGATACATGTTTTTATTGTGTTGCGAAGCCTTTGCAAGTTATGTCGGACCATTTTTAGGCATTGGAAAGAGTAGGTTTGTATTTTGTAAATTTTTTACCTGTTACGGGAAATTTGGTGATATTTTTTTTTTTCCGCAAGAAATTTGGTGATAATAACATGATATTTATTATAATGAAACTTGTATCTATCCAAAGTCCAAAACCGACACATTCGTTTATAGACAAAATTATTTACTTTCTGGCCAACACTCAAGTTGTTATCAAAAGAAACCAAAAGCTGGAAAACGAATGACTGATTTTGTTTCTCACGTCACATTCAAAAAGGAGGTAAAATGACGACGACTTTGCCCAGACACATTTTTCAATATTCCAATCATATCCTTGCTATACGGTTACGCACCAAAGACAATGTTCTGAAATTGTAAGCTATTCATGAGTCAAGACCAACTGCTTCCTTTTGGACACGGCTGAATAGTAGACTTGGTTCTTGTTTCCTCTTGTACTGAGCTCTAGTGACGATCATGTTTCAATGTTTTTTTACTAACCACTTCGTTCTCCAACAACTGAATTCATTCAAACTTAAATTTGTTTATATATGTCCACATTATCCAAACAATCCATGGAAAAGACTTATCTAATCCCTCCTGGCAATCTTCTTTATCATTCGAGATGCTTAACAAGTGATGCAAATTATTGTACAACGAGTCCAATCATCCGTATTCCAGAGAAGAAATGTTCGATAAAGGCAAAGCTCACACTTGTCTGGTCAGAAGACATTAAAAAAGAGCAAGTGATTCACAATTTCCACTTTGCATCCACATTGACATAACTGTCATCCTAATTCCACTATTTCTGTAAGCTTAGAGATGTTGAATCGTTTTGCTTTTGCATCCACATAAACACCGTATCATTTCACTTTTTTTTTTTAAAAAATTTTAATCAATACTTTGATGCGTTTTTCTTTGTATGAAATCCTTTTAAACATTGCATTATGTGAAATTAGTTTGCATAAAATTACAAAGTGATCAAATGAAATATATTTAATTGATTTTGAGTGACTTAAAAGTGGAGAAACCCACAAGATGTCACAATACTTCTCGTTCAAGTTTGAGGACCGCCATGAAAGCTTCTTGAGGGACGTCAACTCTACCTATGGCTTTCATTCTCTTCTTACCTGCCGCCTGTTTGACACAACAACACATTTTAAGGAACGCAGAAACCGCTGAAGATACAATCATGAAATCAAGATATACCTGTTTCTTAAGAAGCTTCTTCTTCCGAGAAATATCTCCACCTGAATGAATCATAGTAACAAGATCAGATATGGCTTTGTGGGAACAAACACGTCAAAGAGAAAACTATTTCATTCTCTGTGTCTGAATCCAGTTGTGCAAGAAAGAGCCTTTAGAAGAAGTTTCCGATAATACAAGAGCTTACACTAAAACGGTTAATGAGTTTCGATATCAAGTCAGCTGGTGATTATTTCATGCTTTTATGAAAGGAGGAAGGGAAGCAATGGAATGTGTACTTACCATAACATTTTGCCAAAACATCTTTTCTGATTGCTGAGAGTGCTTCACTAGCAATCACCTTGGATCCTATACAAGCCTGTAAGTATATGTATATGTCAAAACATCTTCCGTGGTTTTTATATTACTATATTCTAAGGGCATTGTCAGATAACCAAGCAGGAACACAGTTCATCAGACCCATCTGATCACAAGTAAGTTTTATAAGCTCAGAAGGAGAAGACTTAAGATCCAATCCATCTTATGTGCCTCAGGCCCTAGGAGTTAGATTTAGAATCTTCAAGCATTCGTAGAAATGTAAGTTATTTGGAAGAGAACTCTCTAGCAAATTATTTTCAAAAGCTTGGAAATGCAGATATATACCTGGATGGGCACTTTAAACATTTGTCGTGGAATAAGCTCTTTGAGTTTTTGAGTCAAAGCTCTCCCAACAGAATATGCCTGGAAGTACAGTACAAAACGATTCCACAATACTGTGAGGACAAGACTCTAATATAACCCAATGCTAAATCCTGAGAGATGTACTAATCTCGGCAGTGAGAGCTTTAAGCTAATGGGAACAGTTCCACAAAACTTCACAATCAGAAACGTGTGAAAGATAGTTAGCAGTGCCTTTTGTTTCCATCAATCTACTTGTCAAACTTATTCGGCAAGTGAAATTGTATAATTGCGATTGCTGAACCAATTATTTCTATTCAGGTATAAGAGTGTGTATGTATGCTATGTTCAGATTAAAGAGCTTAAGCAAAAATAACCTTGTCTCTGTGTACGATGGTTGACAAAGGTTCCACCATTTCAGCATTAATCAGAATATCGAGTTTTATCAGATCGCTTTCCCTGTACCTGCACACATATTTCAAGAAACAAAAAAACTAGTTGAATATCTTAAGATGCTAAGAAAATAAATCAAAAAGAGCAAAGGGAACATATATGTATTAAGCTTATATGGAAATTGAAGAAACCGAGCTTCCTTCTGTTCCAATCATATAGTTTAGTCAACCTGAAGAAGCTGACAGTAGTTAACTTGTACAAAGAAGGGCTACCAAATTTTACGTAGAGAGCAACACGATAATTAACCTGATTGAAACTGATCTGATGGTGCTAAGAATATATATTACAGATTACTTGGGATTACTAAGAAAAGAATATAGATTCTTATCTTTAAGAAAATCTGACGCATTTCTTAGTTAATCAACTAAAATAGAAGACATGCATCAGAAATTAAGAGAAAGATCTGTGCATCAAAGTTGAAAGAACTAACCCAATAACTGAGTATTCCATGCTAGCATATCCCTTGGTTCTCGACTTCAATTGGTCAAAGAAATCTCCCACCATCTGCAAAAAGGTAGGGAGAAATTATTTAGAAGATCAGTTAACATAAATAAGAAAGACATGTCTAAACTTTCATTGGGGTTATCTTAACTCTGCACAAGCAGAAAACTCACCTCTGCAAGAGGTAACTCATAGAGGATCGAAGCTCTGTTCTCAGCTATATATTTCATTTCTTTGAACTCCCCTCTCCTCTCTTGGGCGAGCTCCATAAGCGCACCGATATAGTCTTTTGGTGTAAGCAGCTCAATCTGTATAATACCGGTTTGCAGTAAGGAAATGTAATTCTACGAAATGTGGGGTGTGAACTTATCAGCAATAACTATGCAGCAGAAAAGGTAACCTTAACATATGGCTCCTCGACCGATTTCCTTTGCCCAGGATCTGGAAGGCGTGATGGATTTGAGCACAAAGTCTGCAGTAAAATTTATCACAGGTAATAAGGCTATAGATATCAAGAAAGAAGCACAAAAGGATGCAATTTTCAGGGAACAAAGAAGAATATTTAAAAGTGTAGGATCAAGAGGAAATTACAGTATCACCATTTACAGAGTTCACCCTATAAACAACACTTGGAGCTGTGGTAATAAGATTTAAGTTGTACTCCCTCTCTAGCCTTTCCTGTGAAGAAGAATGAACTGGAGGGTAAGAGTGAAGAATGATATAATTCACTTTGTGGAGTATAATTTATGGCGGCATCAATCGGGGTGGAAACTGTAAATATGTAGAATACTAACAGATAACTCAGTATATATGAATTTTTTTTGTCTATCTTCTGTTATCAGCATAGGAAATTTTCATTCAGAGACGTACCAAAAACATTTTAAAACAAGAAGAGCAAAACATATCTTACCTGCACAATTTCCATGTGTAGAAGACCCAAAAAGCCGCATCTAAAGCCAAAACCCATGGCACTTGAAGTTTCAGGCTCAAACTGCAGGATAAAGACCAAGATGAGGACAAGCCTATAGATGAATTAATGCTACGCTCCTTAGACCAAATGTGAATACTTTTAACAAAGATATATACAATAGAGGACTGAAATCCCTAGACCAGTTCTTTGCAAAACAAAACTTTACTTTTCAATTAGCATACTGAGCCTAAAAATATATTGGCCAAGTAAGCATACGGAGATCATAGTTTTTTTCGTCCGTGCAAATTATTCTGGGTACAGACGAAAGAAAAATGTTGTTTTCTGTCATTTTATTCTACTATACCTTCAGTGCAGCATCATTGAGTTGCAATTTTTCCAATGCATCGCGAAGATCGGGAAACCTGCCATCATAGATTAAGTGTGAAAAAATATAAAAAATTAAAAAGCAAAAAGTCAACAAACAAAAGCAAAAACTCAGTACTGGTCAGCGTCAACTGGAAATAGGCCACAAAACACCATAGGGGTAGCTTCCTCGTAACCAGGTAAAGAGCTTTCTGCCTTTCTGCTATAATGTGTTATTGTATCTCCTACCCTGGCATCTGCAACAGATCTTACAGAAGCCGCAATATATCCTACCTGTAGTTAAGGACAGTAACATTCAAAATATGTGCAAGAAATGTGGCATGATATTCAGGCATGTCTAATATACACCAGCAGCATCGATCAGTGCTAAAAACATCTTCCTAACTAATAGAACTTGAGCAAGGGAAGATGCAACTAATCGTTCCCTCTCAAATCTAGCCAAACAATAAAAGTGAAAACATATTTGTTTCATTGCAATCAGATTGTTATTAACCACAACTCTATCTTCTACCAAAGCTGCTACAAGGAAATGATAAGGAAATCCTTCCATTTACAAATGCAAACAGTTTTCCTATTAACATGTGTTGGAATAGAACATCTCCATTTCATCATACCATGATGTAAGAAAAAAATTCAATAAAAATGGGAAATGAAAGCACATGAAAGTAAATGAAACAAACAAAATATTATGTTCAAAAGAGTGCACTACCTCACCCGCATATAATTCATCCACTTGAATTTGATTTGGAGATAGAACTCCAACTTCATCCGCAAAATAATCCTGCAATTGATGCAAAACTGAGAACATGGCAGATACTGGTGAAACATAAGAAAGCTACATATTCTCAACTTTCCCGAAAGAATTACAAAAATAACACTTCACATCGCTCTAAATACATAGACCGCGAAGAGCTATCTCATGCACAAATTACATTCAATTTATTATTGGCAAATGGAAAGCTGTCTCGATTAAATAGAAAGACAGCACAGTAGAGTAAAAAGGATAAACCTTTCCGCTTGCCATGAAAAAAATTCTGTCGCCTTTCTTCACTTTCCCATCAATAACTCGAAAGTATACAATGACACCACGATATGGATCATAATAACTGCAGTAAAATGTATTGTGGACAAAAAATCTAAGTAGTTAACATGTAAAAACTACACACTTGTAGACTAATCAAGCAAAAAAAACCAGTATTTCACGCGCATTTTTAGTTTACCAGTGACTAACTGGAACTGACTTGACATGCCAATGACCAGTCCAATCATTATATAACAATACAACTTCGACTCCAAGACTCAATTTCATACTGTTTTTTCTAGAAAAGGCAAAAATATTTATGGATAAAAACAACAAGTGCAAACCTGTCAAAAATTAAAGCTCTTAAGGGATTTCCTGCAGTATCGAGAGGTGCAGGTATCCTTTGAACAATTGCATCCAAAATCTCGGTAATACCAATTCCCTCCTGCGTCAATATATTATTCCCCAAAATTTGTAATTGAATGGATAGAGACACGTCTTAATTTTTGAGTAGCAGAATAGCAAAACAATTTTAAAATCTAACCTTTGCCGAGCAGAATATCGCTTTGCTACAATCTAACCCAATAACCTACAACCAATACGAATTATCAATCAGTGTTCACATAAAGGCTGATGTCTCTGAGATTGCAGCAGTGAGACAATTACCCCATTAGAGGAACATGAGACTGGATCATGATATCACAAAGAAAATGTTTAAAGCATACAAGAATGTACCGAAAATGATTAAAAATAATAGAACCTTGTAAAATGTCATGATAATATATTGACAACAGCAAAATAAAAGACTGAAGAGTTTTTGCAGACACCCAAAAAGGAATACTGTTCAAATTATTACTGGCTGCATTGTATGATTGCTATTAAGTACTAACATCATAAAATGGGCAACACAATGAACATAATCACCAACCTCCTCAATCTCCCTGAGAACTTTCTCTGGCTCAGCGCCTGGAAGGTCAATCTTATTCAAAACCTGCAGGAAGAAGTAGAGTTCATTTGCTTTAAACTTTGGTATACAGACCAAATATTTGAACAAAAAGAATAAACCACCTTACATAATTGTATCCTGTAGAGTCATGAATCAGATTGAAGCAATAACGAAACGTTAAATGATATAATCATTTTATCCTAGACTAGCTATTCTTTTCTTCATTACGCATCTTCTATGTACTGCTGGAGTGATACTAGCTATTTTTGTAACATGTTTGGCCTGTTTGAAACTTAACTTATTGTAGACTCCGATTTCTTTTAAATAAAACGGGCATTGACGTCATTAAATAATCTTCCATGGAGATGAGACAGAGGAACGAATGATGATAACTACCACATATACTTGAAAAGTGATTTATTAAAAAGAATGTATAATGTATAAACGCTAATAAGATGAAGCATAATTGTGTACTTACAGGAATAATTTCGAGGTTGTTTTCCAAGGCCAAATACACATTAGCCAATGTTTGTGCTTCCACACCCTAAAGCACATGTTAGAGGAAGTACTTAGAAAGATTTTCACTAATGTAGTCATCAAAAAAGAACGAAATTACCAAGCGAAAAAACAGCTAAAGCAATACAGATTCCAGATTTCCACAACGTGTCAGAAAAGTGTATGTCAAGAGAAGGAAAAATCACCTGGGATGCATCGACAACAAGAAGAGCACCCTCGCAAGCAGCAAGAGATCGGGAAACCTATGTATAAAAAGAAATAAACAGTGCATTGTTCATCAAAACTGCAACTTAATATAGTTTGTATATATTCCAAAATGTAAAAAAGTTTAGGCTTTTAGGTGATATAAAACACTCAAACCAAGTAAGTTCTCACATATGAATGTAAGCATGAAAATTAACTACATGGCTAAGCTTCAAATATATCCGTAGAGGCGTAGACAATAGGTACATTAGAAGATTGTAAGTACCTCGTAAGAGAAATCAACATGACCTGGAGTATCTATCAAGTTGAGGCAATATGGTGTATCTTCATAAACATAACGCATTCGAGCTGCCTGCACAAACATACAACACAGAGTTACAAAGTCAGAATCAGACTGTTGAGCAATCTTAGTGTGCAGAGAAAACGATAGAAACAAAAACCTGAAGCTTGATAGTGATGCCTCGTTCTCTCTCTAAATCCATGTTATCAAGAAACTGCTCCTTCATATCTCTGTTCTGAACAGTACCAGTCACCTGAAGCAACTTATCCGCTAACGTAGATTTCCCATGATCAATATGAGCTATAATACTAAAATTCCTGATGTTCGAAATCGGAACCTGCGAAACAAATTCAATTTTAAAAAATCTGAATTCTTCCCCAAGTTTCGGCACACGGATGATGACAGTAAACAAAACAGAACCCGACCTTCAAAAGACGGTCTTGACCAGAACGGGCGGCTAATTTGGAGCCAGAGACAGAGAGACCACTCTGAGGCTCAGTTCCAGCTGTGGCCTGGCAAAGTATCTGTAACTTCCGATAAGAGTGACGGCGGAATCCGGAGACGGAAATGGAGGAGAGACGACGGAGAGCAGGGGAAGAAGAAGATGTAGAAGTTCCGGATAAGAAGAACGTTGGAGGAAATAAGTCCATAGCAGAAGCCATGGCCATGGCACTGTGTAAGTCTCTAGACCTCTACTGTTTTGAGAGGAATCGTTTTTAAGAATCCTGAGCCACAGACTTAAGAAAAAAAGAAACTATGTAATTGGGCCAGCCCATCAGATTCTAACCCACCGACCCGACCCGATCCAAATCTGTTGTCATAAAATAACAATTGTTTGGTGTGCAATATTAATCAAATTAAATCGAAATTGAACTAAAAATCTTGAATACAAATTCAACCACAAATGGAATTTTTGTTAATTGATACAAATGTCCGGATCAAAAGTGGCTTATCTGCATTGTCTGAACCAGAGATTTTGAGAATATAAGACTCTTTTTATTCAATGATGAGTTGATTAGTGTTTAATCATTTTTTATATAGATCTTCACATGCCTTAAGACTAATATAATCCCTTTGAAAAGTCCTAACCTTTTGCGCAATTTCGGTTTAGAAGTAAGAAGAGTGAGAATTGAAGCAAAGATGAGTTTTTTACTTCCGCGGAATTTAAAAAGACAGAGCACAAGATGAGTCAATGTCGTGGTAATAAGGGAAGCTTTGACCAATCCATCACCGCTTGTGACTCTCTTTTTAACATGGGGGAGGAGATTAAAGAAAAAAGGTTTAGACTTTTCTTCGTTTGTTTCTTTATCAAGCTGGTTGTTTCAATTTGGCTCTAGCTGATGGTCCAATCTCTCTCTTTTAATTTTTTGCTGTTGAATCCTCTTTTTTCTGATTTCTTCCTTGGTTCATAGTTTCATACTACTCTCCTTGACTTTCTCCTTTTTAACATCAATTCTCGTGTTCGAGGTTCCTTTGTCTTTTGTCTTTTCACTGTTGTGTGTCGTGAATCCCAAGCTCAATACCTCCGGAATTGGCTTGGCCCACGTCTTTTCTGGTCTTTTTCTCTGCTAGGTAAGTCTTCTTCTTCGCATTCCTCTGCTCAAAATCCGATCTTGCCTAGGTATTTTGGATATACAGGGGCTTGCACAGTGTTTGACTTAAAGGCTTTACTTCGTGAACGGCTTTCGGCTTGATGTGAATCTGTTAATTTACCTCAAGGCGATTACAATGTCTTCAAACTATTTCGGACACGATCCTGTCCCTGTTTTGCTAATTTACTTTGGACGATTCGGTTTCCTTGAGTCTCTTGATCTGACTTTTTCCTTACTTTGTCCTTTGTTCTAGGTTATTTACTCTTGCTGGTTTTGGATCAAAGTCTCGAGATTTTTTGTTAGACTACTCTTCCCACAGTGGCATGATCTTTCCGATAACTTAGCTTAAGGTCTTTTGAAAAGAGTTATGGGGAGTTTTTGCTCCAAGAGCCTTGGAATCAATTTTGGCAGCGAGTATTCAGGTTCAAGTGTGGCTGATGATGGTCGAGAACCTGATTTTGGCCACCCACAACCAAATGGACAAACCAGTTTGATTGTTCCTGGTATGAGGCAGCTTATGGTTAAAGACGTTAAGGAACAAAACCAATTAAAAGATGTTTTCTCTTTCCGCGAAAGGGAAGCTGAAGATAATTTCTATGATGGGATTCCGACGTATACCATGGCTCCATCACAGAAAATCCGGTCTGCAAAATCAACTCAAACCGCAGTTTCAAAGGTTAGTATGGACGAAATGAGATAGAAATAAGCTCCTTTTAGCAACTAAGATTAAGAGTTAAAGCATTGTCTCTTAGTAACGGCAAGTGTCTGTGTCTTTTAAGTTTTACCTGTATGAAGTCCTAAAATGTCGTGAGAACAATCCGAATTTGCTACACTGTGGCAGGTTACAGAGGCAAGTGTGCTTTTAGGCAAAGCGGGGTTAGGTAAAGCAAAGGATGTTTTGGATACCCTTGGGAGTAGCATGACGGATCTTAGCAGTGGTGGATTTACTTCTGGAATAGCAACTAAAGGCAATGAACTCGGGATCTTATCTTTTGAAGTAGCAAACACAATTGTTAAAAGCTCAAATCTCATTGATTCCCTTTCTAAGAGGAACATCGAGTATTTAAAAGGAACTGTCCTTTATTCCGAGGGTGTTCAAAATTTAGTCTCGAATGATTTCCATGAACTCCTCAGACTTGTTGCAGCTGATAAGAGGTGAAAATTCGAGTCTAGACGGCTTCTTTGTTTTTTCTTAGCTTTTTTAAAACACATGGCAAAATAGTTCTTTTGATATATTTGCAGGCAGGAGCTGCAAGTTTTCTCGGGAGAAGTGGTTCGGTTTGGAAACCGATCCAAAGATTTTCAGTGGCATAATTTACAGCGCTATTTCGATAGGTAGCTTTATACAAAATATTTGTGCACAAGCGAATGTTAATATTTGTTTGTCATAGCTTTCTTTTGAGCTGCCGAATTGTTTCTTTTGTCTTCAGGATTAGCAAAGAATTAACTCCTCAAAGGCAATTAAAGGAAGACGCGGTGTTGGTTGTTGACCAACTGATGGTTCTAGTGCAGTATACTGCTGTGAGTGAATACTCTCTAAAATTAGAAACTCTAAAAGCATATTGACTTGTTCTTGCTACTTAGATTTGGTGTTCTATGCGTTGAGCTATCAGATATCTTTTTTAGTAGCTGTTTACTTTCGAAAGAATATGTGATAGAAAAATGGAGGTTATTTTTCATGTCACTCAGACATCTCAATATCTCTTTTGGTTCAGGAACTATACCAAGAACTCCAAGTATTGTATCGATTGGAGAAAGACTATGAGCAGAAGCGTCGAGAAGAAGAGAACTCAGCTAACAGCAGTAAGGGTAAGTTATCGAAGACTATTTGCCTGCTTGATTAGATTTGAAACATTGGGTAGATGACAGCGTTCTCTTTTTCACGTAGGTGATGGCCTTGCAATCTTAAAAACGGAACTTAAAGCCCAGAAAAAGGTAGTGAAAAGCTTAAAGAAAAAGTCGTTGTGGTCCAGAGGTTTTGAAGAGGTGTGTACAGCTTTATCATTTAACCTCACCAAATCCTTCAGCTGCATGGTGTAAATGCATCGTTTTAAATCACTTCAAACATTACACTTCACCAACTAAAATCCAGTCAAACTAAATCTCTTGTTACAAAAATCTTGCAAACAGTAATAGATTATTATGATTTTTAACTCACCCGCTAACTTGTATTTCAGGTGATGGAGAAACTAGTAGACATTGTACATTTCTTGTTGCTAGAGATTCATAATATCTTCGGTGGTGCCGGTATGTAAGTTCCTCCTTTTTGTACCTTCACCATGTGCTACTGAGCATGTATCTAAGCTTTTGAATATATTTTCTCGGCCACTGCTCTATTTTAGTACATACTGTAATTTTTCTTGTTAATTGATCCTCCATAATTAAGTTTTCACATAAAAACATGAATTTTCTTATATCAAATTCACTTTCTTTGCCCAGATGATCAACCATCAAAGAAAGGAGCTGCAGATTATGATAAAAGATTGGGTCCTGCTGGTCTTGCTTTACATTATGCAAATATAATTGTGCAAATTGATACACTTGTGAGTACAAACGTAGCATTGCTTCATTTGGTTTGGTTGGTTCTGTGTATTCTCTTAATCATATCGCATGTGTGTTTCGATGGGTATAGGTCGCTCGTGCAAGCTCTATAACTTCAAATGCAAGGGATTCTCTGTACCAAAGCTTGCCACCTGGTATAAAATTGGCTCTTCGTTCCAAGATAAAATCTTTCAATGTCGATAAGGAGGTAATGTCTTCTGGCTTACACTCTGGTGTACAAAACTGAAGAAAGAATGTGGTTGTTTGGCCAATCACACTAAACACAAGGTGCGTATGGTTTCTGATTTTTATGACAGCTTTCGGTTACACAAATTAAGGACGAGATGGAGAGGACACTGCATTGGCTTGTCCCTGTTGCAGGCAATACCACCAAGTAAGAAATCTGACCCTTCTTTCGTCACGCTGGCTTTACAATTTTTTATCTCGGTATAAATTTTATTTTTAATGGCTAATGATTGTTGAATGGGTTCATCACAGAGCGCATCATGGTTTTGGCTGGGTTGGAGAGTGGGCAAATACAGGGTGAGTGATGAATGAAATGAGACCTGCAACTTCTCTTCACCTGCATTTTGTGTTTTTTTTCGCCAATGCTTTCTTTTTTAATCTTACAGGACTGATTTCACTAGTAAGCCTAGTGGTGGAGATATACTACGTATCGAAACACTCTATCACGCTAGTAAAGAAAAGACAGAGATCTACATTCTTGGACAGATAATTTGGTTACAACATTTGGTTACAAAAGCGAAGAGCGACGCTCGAGGAGTGCCTAGACTTTCTTCTATCAAGTCTCCATTGAATACTACAAACCAGCAAATAATATCTGAACCACTCAGTGTCCCATTAGTAACAGATGAGGAGCAAAAGCTGTTACAAGAGGCAAGCACAAGAAAGAGAACTCTATGTGTTAGCAAGAGTCAGGATTTTGATTCTGAGTACTCGCGGGCAAGAAAGTGCGACCCTTTGAGCAAAAGCAGCGAGTATTTTCGTGGAGTGAGAAGAAGCAAATCAGCTGCAGTGAAGAGGTATTCTTCAGGTTTTCCGCTTCTTGACTTTGCTATTGACAAGGAAAAAGTGTTGGATGTGATAGATCGGGTCGATGTGCCAAGAGATCATAAAGCATTGTTAAAAGAAAGTAGCTTGAGCTTCTAATGGAGAGTTGTGTGTGTTTGTGGTCTCACCAATGCACAAAACCGGCTTCTGATTCATACTGATTCATACTTGTTTGGTTGTATATAAGAGCATAAAAGAAAGGGTATGGAAGAAGCTATAATGTGACGTAATATTGTTAGATCATTTGCAATATTTCAATATAGTGATACATTTTCAGGAATGGGATGTTATATTGCTTGCGATGGGTCAATGATAATGATGATCATCATACCAACACTTGCACACCTTTCTATGAAACAAAATAACAAAGGACACTGACATCAAAAATTCTTAAACATACATTTCAATTAGAATCTGCAAGATTTTCAAATTTATTTCAACAAAGCAAAACAACCAAAAATTTGAGTAACAGTGAATGGATCTGTTCAGTATCATCTTGCCAG